ACCTAGATTTTTGATTTTTAAAGTTAGAATTATTTAGATTTATTGTTAAATCTTGGAGTTATAAAGAGAATAATTCTAATTACCAGCTGGTAAAGTGCAACATTGAATTCCACCTCTCTAAAAGATAATAAAAAAAAAAAATTCTATGAATCAAATCGCAGAAATTTAAACAAATATTTTAAATTATGTAATTTTAATATATATTTACCATTCTTGTAACTCCTCCTTCATCTGGGTCAACTTCTATTCCTTCAATTTTAGCCCCAGTACATTTACCTGCTGCTGCATGTGATAACTCATGAAATGAAACTGTCAATAACTATTGAAAGAGAGAATATGAAGAATATGATTAAAAATAATAATAATAATAATAATTAATCAAGATATATTAAATAAAAAAAAAACAAAAACAAAGTGATACCTTAAATGGATATAAAATATGTTTTAAAAAAGGCATCCTCCAAAGAATTAAAATTACAAATATATAAACACCGATAATTATTAAAGTTATCTTTTCATCTTTCGTTGGAGTTAAATAGTTAACTACGTTATCTTTTGTATCCCTTTTAAATAATGATACGTCCTCAGGTATAATAGGCATTTTGGTTTTTTTTTGAAAATGTTAGATGATGATTTAATGTTATTAAATTAGATGATAAAGATTTTTTTTTTGATTCAATTCTTTTTTTTTTTCGCTTAAAATTTTAAAATATAGGTTTTTATCATATAAAATGTTTTATTGAATTTGGCAAAACTATTGTGAATAACAAGTATGGAATAATGTTTATATATATATAGGATTTTTGTGGATCCTCTTGTGGTACAATGATGACACGCCAAGGAGCCAAGAATAAAAGGTCATAGTAAGGATAAAAATTATTCAAATTATTATTAGAATGAGAATCGGAGTTCTTTAAAGATTCCGTGTAGAGGCATGAAGATGAAGTCACGAAAGCGAAAAAGTAATGACGTAACATATATATAGATCGTAGGGGATACACAACTAAATAAATGATATAATATCAAAATATTTTATATTATTGTTTTGATCGAATTAATAAAAATTTTACAATAGAGAATATTAACTAAATATAAACTTTTTACTATTCTGGTTTAAGTTCTTGATCAAACAAGATAAGCTTTTATGGCTTGGCTATATGAAATTACCCTAAATTTAATGATCCCGCCACGAATGGAAATCAAAGTTTTCAAGTGGCAATGTTGATGGGCTTTTTGCGTTATATATGAAATTCAAATTTTTTTTTTAAAAAAAAAAAAAAAAAAATTCTTTCTCTAAACGATAACAAAAAAAATTAAATAAATCTAATTTTAATAACCAAATGTCATCCGATAATTTATCAATCCCCATTACAAAATTACAATGGGGTCTACGAGGATCTCAAATTTTTTTCGCATTTCTTTCGATGGCATGTATTGCTGCTGTCATAGCCTTTGATAATAAATTTATGTCTGGTTCTTTATTTTCAGTTGCCCACATTTTTATCATGATTGTTTCAATGTTTTTTGCGGCTTTAATTGTTGGTATCCCACATATTTATTTAGAATATGGCAAATGCAAATCTACTGCCAGAGCATTAAGGGTTCCTAGGACTGAATTTGTTTTAACAGCAATTTGGGGTGTCCTAATATTCATAGTTTCTGTAGCATTGACTATCGAAGTTTCCTTAAGAAATTGTGATCCTTATTCGGCAGATTTTCAAAAATATAACACAGGAGA